ACATTGCATTTTGCTGATGGACAAATTTGTGCAGTATCCATGCATTCACTACTGCTGTATCAATGCAGCGCGTAACCAAGATCCAGTGCCATTTCTTTCCACGACTGGGAACAGCGTACTTTGAAACAAACCAGTCATGGAGATCCACACCATCTGTATGTGCATTGTAATATGAGATCAAGCTATGCATTTTCACTGTGTCCTTTTCCTTCTGGCCTTTAACTCGTCGATTGACATCGTTAAGAGACCCGAGTGGATCGTAGTTTGTGGCAACTGCTACAACGTTATTGTCCGGCCACGGCACGAAAAGTTCTGTCGTTAGACATCTGTCGTAGACGTAGTCGCTGGCTCCTCGATCTAACTTTTTCATCTCTTTTGATGACTTCAATGGGCATATTCTCTTGGTTCCGTTTTCTCCACTGATAACGGTTGCTCGAAATGCTTTATCTGCCAGTTCAGGCATGAGCTCTATTTTCGCAAAGAAGTTATCAACAGAGAGAGTATAACTGGCTGGATCAGCAATTTATTGTACAGCATTCAAGAATACGCGAGAACGAAAAGACATGCCTATTGTAGTGATTTCCTTCCCACAATACAATGGGAAACTGTAGCAGTATCCCACGCTGGAAAACATGACCCAGTGTTTCTACCCAAAGCTGATGGCCTTTCCTTTTATGAACTATTCCAGGCTGTTTTTCCCATAATATTTCACGACGATCTCACCAATGTTGATGTCGGGTGTAAAATAGCCAACTTTGTGGAAATTCTCATTCAGGAGTTCAAACAGTGGCTTCACTTTAAATGACCGATCATCATCTCTGTTGCTGTCTGCAGTAGAGTTGTCCACGAAGTGAATGTTACTCTTCACTTTTTGAAATCGGTTTTGGGACATTGCATTCTTGACAATAGACACAACAAGATCTGCATCGCTCTATTTGCCTGTTTCTGACGGGACCTTATGGTATTCAGTTAGAATCGAAATCCCAAGAAAGCCCGCTTCCTCAGCAGCTGTATGCACTTCGTGATCGCTTCGAACACCTGTTGAACAGCGAATAGCTTGGCTATTACATCATATATATATTTATCTATAGCTAAGCAGATCTTGTGCCTATTGTCAAGAGTGCCATGTCCCAAAACCGATTTCAAAAAGTGAAGAGTAACATTCACTTCGTGGACAACTACTGCAGACAGCAACAGAGATGATGATCGGTCATTTAAAGTGAAGCCACTGTTTGAACTCTTGAATGATATATATATATATATATATATATATATATATATATATATATATATATATATATATATATGCATCGGTGTAAAACGGACATTGAGCCATCGAAAACCACGAGGAACAAAATAGACAAGTCAAAATGTCAAAAACAGGGAACATATACTTTGGGGATTTTGTTTGCTTTTTGTCTCTCTTCATGTGCCATTTTGTTGTTTTTTTGCATAGTATAGCTCTAATCACATTGTTCAAAGCATTTCAATATACACTCCCGTTGATTCCGGTTTCGCTCCATATCGTCAAGGGTCTCGAGCCATTGGCGGTTCTCATCCTTGGGCCCCCAACCAGGAACACGTATTTGGACGATGATGGAGTGACGGGAAGTCAGTGATTTCATGATTTGCTGCCGAGGGGTTGGCTGACCTCCACGCCTTCTCTTCCAATTCAATCCTTTGCGAGCAAATAATCCGCGGCGTGGCAAGCGTTCGCATGCCATCTCAATTGACGCATTACGACAGGACAGTCAAGCAGAGAACTCATATTTCCCAAGACCACATGCCGAACTTCTCGTTGCAAACCCGGTGCTGCCACCACACACTGGTTATCCGCCGCAAACATGTGTTGTCGAAGGCTGAAAGCCTACGCGTGTCATCCACATCCATACAACAGGACCGTACGGACACAAGCGTTGTAGACGCTCCCCGACAACGCCACCATTGACCCAGGTCGGTAAATACCGACCGAGCTTTGGCGATGCAAAGAGATACCTCTTTCCCAATAGTGCCATCAGCAGAAATGCAGCCTCCGAGGTAGACAAAGTTGTCCACAAGCTCTAGCTGAGTTCCTTCAATGGTAAGTGAGGGCGCAGACGACTTCCAGTAGCACTTTACACTTCAAGGGGGAAAGCGCATGCCATACTTAGACGCTTCAATCACCATACGGTTCAAAAAAAGCTGTACAAGCTGAATCCTCACCGAGTAGTGCGATATCATCAGCATAATCTAAGTCTGTCACACGATTGCCAGGAAGAAACTCAACACCGAGATTTTGGGAACCTTCCAGAGATCTTAACAGGACGTCTTCAATTGTAAACTTGGAGGAGAATGGAGACAAAGAGCATCCCTGTCGCACACCACTAGAGATAGCGAGGGGTGATGAAAGCTTGCCGTAGACCCTCATTCAGCCTGACACTTGGGATTAAAACGCCCGATTGGTGAAGGTGTACTTTTCGGGAACTCCATTTCTTAGCGAATTGTGTCATAAAGCAGGCCGATCAACCGAGTCAAATGCAGCTCGAATGTCCAGGAAGACGACAATGGTTGGCCTATGGTAGGGATGGCGGTGTTTAAAGATTTGGCGTGGTGTGTAGCTCTGGTGCACAGCATTGCATCTTATATCTCTGGCGAAAAGAACTCAGAGTTGCACAGTATGTTGGCCTAAAGTTTGTCACATTAGCATCTGCTACAGCAGCAGTCTGTCCAATTAGTGCAGATGTTTTGAGGAGGTTGGATTTTTCTGCTTTGTCCAGGACAGGAGCGTTTGTTGTTCCTTGGACGTTTCGCTGCAGGCTCAGGGCTTGTTGATGGTAGATTCTCTTCTGGTTCAGCACTATTTCTCTCATTGTCCAACATCGTGTCCTCTTCCATGTTGTCTCCAACCCTTTCCACTTCTAACTCTCCGGGAACATCCGCAACAGGTATGTCGCCTGTATTGGCAAGATCATCCTCATCGTCTGACAATCCACTGGTATCTGGTGGTGCCACACAGTAATTTTAGGTTCTTCTTCCTCACATTGTTCAAGAAGCCTTTCCACTTTCTCCAGTGTAAAACAGTTTCTTGGCATGTTTCACTTCGAAAATGAATAAAATAATAAGAGTTACTGTAGACCACTACATATTCACGTCATCCTCCCAATGTCCTATTTGCAGGACAGTGGACAAATGACTACGTTTGAGTTCATTTGATTGATGTACCACTCAGCAATACGGACAAGTAGATAGTTTACTTACATTGCGTCAGTCTCTGCATCTGCAAACAACTATAACTCGTCTGGACTTGCCGTAACATGTAGGGAATGTAAGATGCCTTCAAGTCCACAACCTGCCGCCTACACGCCATATGGTACATGACTGCCTCCGTGGAAGTATGAAGTCACATAAGTTAGGGTCAGCTCTGAATATGGGACGGATCACGTGATTGTCTCGGTGCAGCAGACGTGGGCTTATCTCTAGCTATCCTGTCTATAGGATACTGGTAGATAATGGGTTAGACGAAGCGGCGAAGTAGCATTTTATTGACTTGCACATTTGGACTATACCATCCGTTGCCGTACCATCGTCCCAAAGTAGACTGGAATTTCATGGCGCCGTTTCAAATCCCTTCTTTTGAGTAATTGAACCAAAGCACCTGTTTTTCTCCGTTCTTGATGGCTTGTTTTTCTTCGATGATTCTGAACTGTTGAGTTTGGTATTCAAAGCTTCAGTAAGCTTTTCTATATTCCTGTGCCGGGTTTGTTGTTGGTTTCGGTGGAAACGAGTTCGCCCAAGGCTTCTAAACGATTTGTCGCTTACAGTAACGATATTGTTGTTTTTACGTTGCAGCGATCCCAATTTTTATAACTTGGAATCTGTCTTGAAGAAGCATTTGTATCGGCCGTCTTGATATTGCGATGTATCGAACTTGCCTCCGCATATTAAAATTCGTTTCTATGATGTGAGAGGGGACATAGAACCTAAGGGCCATCACACGGTTGATGAGACCTCGTTCAGATTTCATCCAAAACTTTGATGATCGAAATGTGATGCTTTACACGCCCAGTGAGCGATCCTATGCCGTTGTCTGACATTGGGAGAATTTTTCTCCAGTGGGCTCTGATAACGATGAGGTACAAGTAATCTTGATGATTGATAGTCACTGATAGCGCGCAAAACGAGCTAACTGAAGCTACAATACCCATTTGTAGCTACAATCTACTCTGGCTGGTCAGTAAGACACAAGCTTAATCCATGGCGAAATACCTACTGAGAGGGACACTATAAATGCAATTAAGTGACCTTTTCACATAATCCATATGTCCGTTGACTATTAGTTAGAAGCAGAATTTGTGCGTTAGATGAAACGCAATGGTGGATAGAATTTTGTCACTTTTTAGGCTGGTGGCTTTGTTACGATAGACAGAGTCGATGAGTCTAGCATCAGCATTGGGACAGGCGCGACATGAGGCACTGACTATAATGTCGTGTGCGATAAATGATACAAATCGAAGCCATCACTTTATATTTTATTAGTTTCTCAAAAGACGCAATGGCGCTAACGTCAACTAAGTCAACACATTTAGGCAACCATCTCTCGTCCACTTCTTTTATTGTGACTGGCCACCTTATCATGTTGGATAAACACGAGTCGAGCTTGCACCGAACGGCAGGCCGATGAGCAGAGGGACAAAACTTTTCTCGCTTGCTTATCGACATAGAAACATCACGTAATTGATTGAATGTGCAGTGCCTAGGTCCGCTGAAGAAGAAGATATGAAGACACAACTAAATATACGGTGGTGACGTAGGATTTGGGCAATAGATAACCCGTACACTGACGGGACTTTGCGTGAGTTAGTTAAGAGGATTTGTGCGCGCTTCGTTGAGGCGATGATGAGTGCTTCGCACTGCTCTTTATGGCTGTAAGGATATTTAAATCGCGGACAATACAGAAAGAAAACAAATCAGGCGAGGGTGATAATTTAGATGGGGAGCGCAATTTAACGACCAATGTCGCGTCATTCCACTGTTGCATTTCCTGTTCTGCGCCATGGAAATGGAATACACCAAACTGGACGTGATGTGCGCACAGTGAACGCTGAGGATGGCAGTGCATCCAACTGGATAGCTAGTGGCCTCAAAATGCACGGGAATGCCAATAGTCCAATGAACAGGCACACACTGAATTCCAGGAAGAATCCATCCAACATAGTAGCACACTGCCCACCGAAGAGCCGGCACGCCTGATGATGTATTGCATAGAGAAGGGGGGGAATTCATATTGTTGGGTAAATTGCTTGTATTAGAGGTTCTATGAAAAGAGCGTGTGATGTCATCATAAAGCTAGTAAAACCCATATCAAAGCAGGTCAATTAAGCACTGGAGCATCAGGAACACAGGTAGGTTGCTAGACAGACATTTTAGGTTTGTGATATCATTTTGTAGCTATTAATATTTAGCACATAGCATACTTTAGAGAACCGGTAACATAAATAACGTTAGTTAAAGGTTAGGTTCACCTTACATAAAGAGATCTTGATCCGCTCCAGTGTCTGACAACGGTAAAACCACAAGCTGTGCAGACGTAGGAGCGCGTAAACCCCTGCGATGGATCAGTCAAGCAGCAGAGCGCACAATCACAACAACAAACCGGCGGCAACCAAGGTAGAACAACGTCAAGACGAGCTTGAACCAGTTGTTGTGTGTATAGTTTATTAAAACAAAACTGTACATGAACTGCAGCGGAATGTGGAAGCGTAAAAATAAATAGGCAAGTTATTTACGGTCGCTACAGTACTCCCCCTCCCCTAAAGCGTGCGCTGGGAAGAAACGCTTGACAAAGTACCTATGGAACGTATTGAGCAAGCCTGGGCAGAAAGGGAACAACACGACCGGAACGTTTGTGTGTAGATCTGCTCGAGGTCGGACGGCGCAGGAATTCCGTGGTTTGGGAATCGGTCAGGCACAGGACGGTTGTGAGTGGTTGAGGTTGATTCTGAACTATCCAACCTTGAGTCGACATATGCGGGTTTAAGACGATCATTGCTCACGGATTCCTTGGATCCATTCTTATTCAGAACGAAGTACTTTGGTTTCCGCCATAAGACCTTGAATGGACCTTCATAAGGCGGTGTCAAGGGTCTTCGAACAGCATCGATTCGGATAAAGACGAGTGGACAAGTGTGTAAGTCAGGATGTATATGCTGTTCGTGCGTGCTTAATCGTGGTGTCGGTCTAATGGATCGAAAATGGTGCTTCAGTCGTTCAGCGTAGGACGCAGGATTCAATTCGCCGGTGATTCGTGCGTCCAGTATCATCTCGCGTTGGAGTCCGATTGTTGTTCCAGACAACTTCGGCTGGGCAGCATCCGATATTTTCTTTGACGGTATTGCGAATACCAATAAGAATAGCTGGAAGGCGTTCAGACCAACGGGCATCAGGCGAACTAGCTGTAATGGCAGCTTCCAGTTGTCGATGAACTCGTTTGACAAGGCCATGGGCAGCAGCATAATAGGCAGTCGTCTGAACAACCGAGCAGTCGACTCAAGTCACGGAAAAGGGTGGAACTGAATTCAGATCCTCTGTCATTAGTGACAGTAGCTTGCACACCGAAGAATGAAATCCACGATTCAATGAAAGCACGAGCAACAGTTTCAGAGGATATATCAGGTAGAGGAACTGATAGTGGCCAACTGGTAAAACGGTCGAAGCATGTCCAAAGATAAGTGAAACCGTTGGGGGAGGTAATGGCCCAACTATATCCACGTGAACGTGTCTGAAACGTGCGTCAGGGAGTGAAAAAGCACCTTGGGTAGTAACAGTGTGGCGATGAACTTTACTAGTCTGGCAATTAAGGTAATGTTTAGCCCACTGTGGAATGTCTGAACGCATATTGGGCCAGATGAAGTGGTCAGTAATGAGATTCACAACAGATCGGATGTGATAGACCATGAAAATGATTGAAAATGGCTCGTCGAAATGAATGTGGAACAAAAGGTCTAGGCTTACCAGTTGAAATATCACAATATTTTGTCAGAGTTAAGCACTGGTAAATGCACGAATTTTAAGGAGTCGTTTTATCGAACTTGGATAACATTGGAATCATTGGCTTGTGCGGAGGATATTCATTCTCTCCAACTCGATGGTTGCCTTTGACAGTTGATGCAGATGAGTACGCGATAATGCATCAACCCTAGTGTAGTGGAGACCGTCGATGTTTCGGACGTCTACACAGAACTGTGAACGGTAGTCCAGATGACGCGTTTCTCGGGGTGAGTAACGGTCTGAGGCAGAACGAAAAGGCTACCCCAAAGGTTCGTGATCTGTCAGCAGAATGAAGCGGCGTCCTTCAAGAAGGTGATGGAAATGTTTCACAGCCAAGTACATTGCGAGAAGTTCACGACTAAAGGTGCTGTACCTGACCTGAGCAGGTTGTAGCGTCCGCGAGAAGAACGAGAGTCATTCATCCATTCATTGTACACATCAGCTAGAGGTGGGAAAACACCCCCGCTATTGTGCCGCAATACATGAAGGAAATGATTTGGCGGCGTCCGTATCCGGATTTGCCTGTCACTGTGACGTCCATGGGGACAGTCACAGGACGCCTGCGCCTACAGAGGGACCATGGGTGGCTTGCGCTGCACCACCCATAGTTCCACCCACACACCCCATATCCAGTGTAAACCCGAAGGAATAAGACTGGGAGGCATGCGGATGGGAGCCACGTTTCATCAACGGAGCCGGCCCACACTCCTTCAACAAGCAGAACGGAAGCATTCCGGCCTAATTGGGAAATCATACACACCAGACGTACACGAGGCGGTGACTGGACCGTAGCCCGTTCCACACAGGTTGCATGGAACCACTCTTTGAGCCTAGCACCGTCACGAGGACGGTGCACTCCGTCCCCTCCAGCGACGACCAACTGTCTCCTGGAGCCAGTATGGACGAGGTAGTGGGTAATAGACAGGTAGGCACCTTGTCAACATTCACATCAGGCGCATCCACACAGGGGAACTCAAGCAACATCTACTTCTGAAATGCAAGATTACTCATCACGCAGGCAAACGTACCACATACGCCGCCTTATTGGCCTGGATTAGTAAATTGAATGGGAACACACTCATGGTGCTTCTATTCCGCATACAATTGTGCCTTCGCCGGCACCTGAGAAACCGCCCTTTTGAGCAGTTCACGGAATTCGCATCGATCAAAGTTGCCTTGGATTCGCAACACCTGAAATTAACATGAGTTTGTCATAAACTCATCTTCTTCATGTTCTGGTAATATTAGTTTCGGTTTGCTCGAATGTCGTTCTACTGCACTAAGTTAACCGTACAAAAGCGGTATGAAGATCCTCTTGGAATTCATTCGGTATACATATATACATAGATTGCCGTCATCTGTATCCAATGGCAGTTCGAATGCAACATATGCACATGTGTTTCCACGGACTTCATTATTAACTGTCACAAAACTGGACAGAGACAAATTAGTCCGCATGAACAAGCATGTATGAGCAAACATGTATGGGTTTCATTTGGAGGTCAGGCTAAGATTTACTTGCAGAGGCATGAGATTAAGTACCCAATACGTACTGTTGGTGTTCGCCTCTTACGGCTTACTTGGCACGACAACTACCATAGTACTACAACAACTAAGTCCCACTGGCCACTGTCAAACTTGCGGTTTTCCAAACAATGTTCGCACTGTGTTGCAAATATCCAAGATGTAGCATGGTTGTCATCCAAGTACTCATCCGTTTATACATACCGTTGTGTATCCTGTTGTGGCTATACACTACTTGGTTACGATCTACTTTAGTACGCCTGGGGTGCAGCTATTCGGTGCTCGTAAAGTGAACAAATTTTCCCTATGCGCTGATTCCTTTCCGATGTAATTTACTAAGGAAGGAAATACATACATACATATAATACAATACACAAAGGAAAAATAGATACAACAGTTGCATGCCAGCTGAGCTACCAGCAACGGATAGGCATCGTTCCGGTAAGCTTCCAGCCAGCTACTAGGCAAAAAGAGAAGAAAAAATATTATTACTTATGAATGGAAGGATTTTGGTGAGTACTTTTGTTCGTCGCAATTAGCCGACAATTCAGATATGTCGACCAGCTGTCCGGAAAAGCACCAGACGGCCGTTTCGCCCTATTGGGGCTCATCAGTGGTGCGCATCCTTCGGTCCTCTGCGGAGGATCGAACCCATGACTGCTAGTGGCTCTTGCCAACTAGCCCGCAGCTTATGCAACTGCGACATGGAGGACGGTATCTGACTATCGTGAATTGTTAGCTAAATGCGATATAGCCCGACGCATCCTCCACTGCCATGCAGGCACCTGCCATGCAGATGACAGCGGTCGGCCTTCCGGCGTCAGGACTTCCCGGTTACGGCAGCTATGAATCGACATAGCATTTTGTGGAGTCCGTACGGGCGAATTAGTATTACTTATGAATGGAAGGATTTTGGTGAGTACTTTTGTTCGTCGCAATTAGCCGACAATTCAGATATGTCGACCAGCTATCCGGAAAAGCACCAGACGGCCGTTTCGCCCTATTGGGGCTCATCAGTGGTGCGCATCCTTCGGTCCTCTGCGGAGGATCGAACCCATGACTGCTAGTGGCTCTTGCCAACTAGCCCGCAGCTTATGCAACTGCGCCATGGGGGACGGTACCCAACTATCATGAATTGTTAGCTGAATGCGATATAGCCCGACGCATCCTCCACTGCCATGCAGATGACAGCGGTCGGCCTTCCGGCGTCAGGACTTCCCGGTTACGGCAGCTATGAATCGACATAGCATTTTGTGGAGTCCGTACGGGCGAATTAGTATTACTTATGAATTCATAAGTAATACTAATTCGCCCGTACGGACTCCACAAAATGCTATGTCGATTCATAGCTGCCGTAACCGGGAAGTCCTGACGCCGGAAGGCCGACCGCTGTCATCTGCATGGCAGTGGAGGATGCGTCGGGCTATATCGCATTCAGCTAACAATTCATGATAGTTGGGTACCGTCCCCCATGGCGCAGTTGCATAAGCTGCGGGCTAGTTGGCAAGAGCCACTAGCAGTCATGGGTTCGATCCTCCGCAGAGGACCGAAGGATGCGCACCACTGATGAGCCCCAATAGGGCGAAACGGCCGTCTGGTGCTTTTCCGGACAGCTGGTCGACATATCTGAATTGTCGGCTAATTGCGACGAACAAAAAATATTATGTTTTACCCT